AATGCATAGGCCTTGTGGTACATACGTTATTTTGAAGAGAGACAAGGTAAATTTAAAAATTACATAAACTTAGATATACCAGTGCTATATAGAACTTTACTGTTACCCTGTTGGAATGCAACAGGGTACAAACTGTTATGAAGTAGTTGTTGGATATATGTATATTGATGTAATAAACTAATGATACTGTATTGAGGCTACTAAATTATTGAATAGAATATTAAATTGGGAGAAAAAAACTACATAAAAAGTTTAAAAGGAACAATACCTTGAGCTCAAATAGGGCCAGGAATAATTCATATTCTAATCAATCAAAATGGAAAATTATATTTTTTGGAGTATTGGATAGTATAACGCAGAAGGGTTTTGTCCCAGTAGTGGGTCAAAATTAGCCAAACTGTTCTGGTCCCCTATAACAAAACCTAGAGCGTGACCTGAAAGGATGAACATGTTTCCAAATAACTGCATCCTAGAAAAATGCTCTGGAATGTGTTTAGAAATACAAAATATCTAAATACTTGATAGGTATAAAACCCAGCCTTCTACTCAGAAATTCCAGGCATATAAAAAAGCAAGAAAATATGACCCACAGTAAAGAAACAAATCAATTAATAGATCCAGAAATGACAAAGATAATAGAATTAGTGGAGAGAGACATTAAAACCGTTATTTCAACTGTATTTTATACAATCAAGAAGTTAGAGAAAACATGTTAAATAGAGACATGAAAGATGTAAAAAGATCCAAATCAAACTTTCAGAAGTAAAACTATAATGTCACTGGATGGAATTAACAGCAGAAGTAATTGCTGAAAATTTCCACATTTGATGAAAAATAAAGACACACATCCAAGAAGCTTAACAAATCCGGAGCACAAGAAATATGAAGAAAATTATAGTGAAATAGCTTAAAATCAGTGATAAAGAAAAAAATCTGAAAAATAGCCAGAGGGGAAAACAGCACATTACATATAGAAGAACGAAGATAAGAATGGCAGGAGTCGTCATTATATCTCATTGGAAACAGTGAAGCCAGAAGATAATGGCTCAGAATCTTTTAAGTATTGATAGCAAAAACTGTCATCTAGAATTCAGTACACACCAAAAATTTATTTCCAAAATGGAGATGAAATAAACACTTTTCCCAGACATATCAAAGGGAGATAATTCATCATCAGCAGACCTGCATAACAAGCAATGTGAAAAGATGTCCTTAGGCAGAAGGAAAACTATACCAAAGGGAAATCTGGATATGAATCTGAAAATGAATACCGAGTACCAGAGATGGTAATTATGTGAATAAATATAAATGACTCCATTATAACAATATTTAAAGTAAAAATAATGCATTTTGAGGTAAAAGTTAACAATAGGAGGGAGCAACATTGTTGTAACTACTTTGGGTTTTTGTTTTGGGAGATGAGGTCTCACTGTGTTGACCAGACTGGTCTTGAACTCTTGAACTCCAGTGATCCTCCTCCCTCAGCCACCCAAGTAGCTGGGACTTGAGGCACACGCACCCCTGCACCTGGCTCTATTGTAAGGTTCTTAAAACATACCTGAATTGGTGTAGTATCATTTGATTTAGACTGTCATGAATTAAAAATGTATACTTAAAATTCTAAAGCAATCACTGAAATAACTTAACAAATATATAGTTAATTAACCAACAAAGGAGATAAAATGCAGTAATAAAAACAGCTCAGCTAACCCAAAAGAAGGTAGAAAAAGAAGACAACTAGAACAAAAAGTAGATGATATGGATAGGAAACTAATAGCAAGATGATTGAACTATATCAGTGAGCACATTAAATGTAAATTGTGCAAATGTCTCAAAAGGCAGATGTTGTTAGATTGAATTAAAAAAAGATGCTATAAGAAATCTACTTTAAATATGAAGACACAAAGGTTAAAGTAAAAGGACAGAGTAAGATATTTATTTAGCTACCTTAATTATTTTCATTATTGCTAGCGAGGCATTAATGAAAATAATTAAAGTAGCTATATAAATATCAGACTAAGATGTCAGAGCCAAGACTATTACCAGAAATAAAGAAGATTGTTTCATAATGATAAGGAGATTAATTCATCAGGAGGACATAACAGTCCCTAACATTCGTGATCTAATAATAGCTTCAAAAATCTTGAAGCGAGAATGTTAAGAACTGGAAGGAGAAATAGACAAATTCACACTTACAATCAGAGACTTCAGTACTCTTCTCAATAACTGATAGAAAGGTAGAAAGAAAATCAGTGAAGATATAGATGACTTGATCAACGCTGTCGAATAACATATCCTAATTGACATTAAGTGTACACTTCACTTAACAACAGTAGAATGTGCCTTCTTTTGAAATAAGAATGGATCATAAAATAAGCCTCAATAAATTTAAAAGGATTTCAGTCAGACAGTGTGTATTTTCTGACCACAGTGGAATTAACTTGGAAATTAGTAACAGAGAGGTAATCTAGGAAATCTCTGAATATTGGGAAATTAACATTTTCCAACTAATTCTTGGGCCAGAGAAGAAAATGAAAAGAGAAATTACAAAAAATTATTGAACTGAATGAAAATTAGAACACATCATCAAAATTTGTGGCATGCTACTAAAGAAGTATGCATAGGAAAATTTATAGCACTAAATATTTGTATTAGAACAAATGTCTTAGTTCAATGACTTAGTTTCTTTGTTAAGAAATTAGAAGAAAAAAGAGAAAATTAAAATCCATAGTATCTAGGCAGGAAATAAGAGAATGAGGACCAATGAAATGAAAAATAGTAAAATTATAAAGGAAAGAAAAATTGGCAGAGCATGGTGCCTTACGCCTGTAATGCCAACACTTTGGGAGGAAGTGTTGCTTGAGCCCAGAAGTTCAAGACCATCCTAGGTACATAGACTCCATCTCTACCAAAAAATACATAAAAACCCCAAACTGGCTTTTTACAAGACTCTTGCCAGAATAATCAGATAGAAAAGACAGAATATCAGGAATGAGAGCTCTGTCTTCACTTTAGATTCTTCAGATGTTTAAAAGATGATAAATACTATGAACACCTTTATGCCAATAAATTCAACAAGTTAAATGAAATGGCCATTATTACTCAAAAGGCACAAACTACCAAAGCTCACGCAAGGTGGGGGTGAAGATAATATGAGTAGTAATTTATCTATAAAATAAATTGAGTTTGTTTTAAAAACTTCCTCTCAAAGAAAACTTCAAGCTCAGATAGATTTGCCTGGTGAATTATACCACACATTTAAAGAAGAAATACTTGTGATCCTGTACAAAGTGTTCTAGAACACTGAAGAGGAGAGGAAATTCTTTCCAACTTACATGAAGCCATCACAGTACCCAGAAACTCAAACCAGAGGAAAACAGGAAATCTGTAGTCTAGCATCTCTCATGAACAGATAGAAAGATTCTTAATAAAATATTAAATAGAATTTAACAATATATAAAAAGAGCATTACATCACTCAAAGAGAGTTTATTCCCAGAATGGGTTGTTGGTTTGATAATTGAAAGTGAGTCAGTATAATTCATATTAGCAGATTAAAAAGGAGAAATCATATAATCATCTCAATAGATACATGAAAAACATGTGGCAAATACACCATCTGTTCTTGATAAATGCCTTATACAAAGGGAGTAGGGGAGAACTTTGTTAACCTGAGAACGGACATCTACAAAAAAAAGTTCTATGACTGACAGCATACTTAATGGTGAAAGACTGGCTTTGTTTCTAAGATCCAAAACAGGTCAAGAGTATTCTCACCGCTTATTGTATTGGAGGTTCTAGGTGCACTAAGGCTGGAAAAGGAAATAAAAGACATCCACATCAAAAAGCAAGAAATAAAACTGTCTTTATTAGCAGATGATAAGGTTATGTAGAATGGCCTATGGAATTTACAAAAGAACTCCTAGATAAATGAGTTCAGAATGTTTCCAGAGTATGAGATACACAAAAATTATGATCCTGTTTTTGTAGTGTGAAAACTACGTATCATTGAAAAATGACCAAACAAATGTGGTTCTCTGTTTTTTAGGTTCCTAAGTTTTCTTTGATTTTTTTCCCCCCCATTTGGCTTTTCTAATTTTTTGGCAAGTGTTTACTTTTGTGATGATAACAGCAATAAAATATATTGTTTTCAGAAATAAAATTTTAAGTCCCACTATATAAATGTAAATGTAATAGAGTTTAATAGTTTTAGGTAAACATCTCTATTCAAATCCTTATATTTAAAACATATAGGAGTCTACTTACATTCAGTTCATGTTTTCTTATTCTGACCTGCCGTTTTATACATCAGTCAGCCGTGCCACCTCTCCTTGACCTCCAAAATATAAGGCATTGTGAGGACCTGTGATTGCATTCCATAATTCATTTCCCCCCACATATTGATGAGTGTCACCGGTGTACCAGATACTGGGGAATGCAGTGACAAAGAGTCTTCGTGGCCTCTGAAGCTTACACTTTTTACATCTTCACCTCTTGCCATTTTCTCTTTGTTTATTGTATTCCAGCTATGTGAGGCTTCTTTTAGTTCTTGGAAAGCCCATTCCCTCTCATGGCCTCACACAATCAAGTTTTCTCTGTCAGGGAAACGTCCTCACACCCCCACCCTCCACCCCTCAACTCTGTACTCTTATCTTAGCTTAAATGCCACTTCCTCGGGGAAACTTTCCCTGATCTCCCTAACAGGGTCATATACTTCAATGGCACCTTACGCTTTTCCCTTCCCAGAATGTATTACTGTTGTATTTATCACTTTTTATGTGATCTCTAGTTGGAAATACTGCTGTAGGCTATTATTTCCATCACAGGTATGTTCTGCAGAAGTGTGCTTTAGTTTATTTTGAGCTATTAAGTCTGTTGATTCATCTTATGATAAAACAACTTGGCCTCTGGCTGAATTATTAGCACAATCTGTGGCCAGGATTAGATGGAGTGAATCCAATAGTTAATAATGTACCATAAACATAACTGTTGGAATTTCAGGTAACACAGGAAGAAGGACAACAGTTAGCACGGCAACTTAAGGTCACATACATGGAGGCATCAGCAAAGATTAGGATGAATGTAGATCAAGCTTTCCATGAACTTGTCCGGGTTATCAGGTAAGCAAAACATATTCTAGAAGTATGTCTTAATAAATCACTATTAAGTGTTTTTAGTAAGAAAGAGGATATTTTATATAGGAGTGATTCCTTTCTAGGGATTAATGCACATGGTGCATTATAATTTTTTTTGTTATGTTTTGAGATGGAGTCTCTGTTGCCCAGGCTGGAGTGCAATGGCACCATCTGAGCTCACTGCAACCTCTGTCTCCTTGGGTTCAAGTGATTCTGATGCCTTAGCCTTCCAAGTCCCTGGGATTACAGGTGGCCACCATTATGCCTGGCTAATTTTTTGTATTTTTTAGTAGAGACAGGGTTTTGCTAAGTTGGCCATCCAGGCTGGTCTTGAACTCCTGACCTCGGGTGATCCACCCACCTTGGGTGATCCACCCGCCTCAGTCTCCCAAAGTGCTGGGATTGCAGGCTTGAGCCACCATGCCCGACTAACATTACAGTTTTCAAGTACATATTCTAGGCATGTCTAGAATATAAAATCTAATTTAATTATGAAGTAGAAAGTACACATAGGATTTTGAAAAGAATAAATGCTGCCTTTAGTGATGACAGCAGCTAACTTTGCATGATAATCTCTGCCAGATTCTGTGATAAATGTTTAACATGTATTATTATATGTAATTCTCACCATAGCTCAATAAACTAAATAGTGTTTAATCCTAACTTTCAGAGGAGAAAACAAAGGTACAGAAAAAGAAGTAAAATAACTTGTTCAAAGTTTAGACATATTAAATGGCACAACTGGGGCTTTAATTCAAATCTCTGATTCCAGAGCCTATGCTCCTAGCTTGCTTTTTATTTCAACACATCTCAGGCTAAGAGTAAGCCAGGTAGTAGAGATTCAATAATCCTGCAAAGTGTGAATTATAACATCCTACACAACAAAGAATTTTTCTGTTGGATACCCTAGGGGGCCCCTGTGGTTTAAAAAGTGTTAATGGGTTCCAAGAAGCTTAAGGTGTTGATTAAGGTCTGTTAGAGTTACTAGATACCTTTTTGGGTGAGAAAGATGAAGTTTCTTTAGTGAGTAGCATTTGATTTATTATTTTGGGTCTTGGTGCCTGGCCTCTATTTCACATTCTGCTCTGTAGATCTGGGATTCTCTGCTAGTTAGACAGTTTGATAGGAATGTGAAGTAGGCTCATGTGTTGTGTTGTGTTGTGTTGTGTTGTGTTGTGTTGTGTTGTGTTTTGAGACAGAGTCTCTCTTTGTTGCCCAGGCTGGAGTGTAGTAGTGCGATCTTGGCTCACTGCAACCTCTGCCTCCTGAGTTCAAGTGATTCTCTTGCCTCAGCCCCCCAAGTAGCTGGCACTACAGGTGTCTGCCACCATACCCAGCTAATTTTTTTTTTTTTTGTATTTTTAGTAGAGATGGAGTTTTGCCATGTTGCCCAGGCTGCTCTTAAACTCCTGAGCTCAAGTGATCCATCTGTCTTGGCCTCCGAAAGTGCTGGGATTACAGGCATGAGCCACCACACCCAGGCTTCATATTTATTTTGTATCTAAGGTAAATTGGCACCTGAGCTATGATCTCCTTGTACTTTCTAGCCCCTTGCCAAAGCATTCTCTTTCTGTGAAGAAAAAAAAAAAAAAGTGAAGGTTATAGGTTTTTCTTTTTTAGTAGTTTGCTAAAAATCCCAGTCCCATTATTTTTTGAAGGGTACAGAGTTTCAGTTTTGCCAGATGAAAAAGAGATCTAGAGATGAATGGTGATGATGGTTGCACAACAACATGCATGTACTCAGTACCATCAAATATATACTTAAAAATGGTTAAGATGGAAAATTTTATGTTGTATGTATTTTACCCTCTTTCCCCATTCCAGTTTCATTTTAGTGTCAAGCAACTGATGAGGCAGTGCTTTCTTAACGTAATTATGATGGCCTTTTTCAAATGTTGTCCTTTGTGTTGGTTCTTAGGATCTCTCCTTATCCATCAGTAATTCAGGAATGAGGTGGGGAGTAGAGGAGGTTTTTTTGTTTGTTTTGTTTTTAATGCCGGGCACTATTAAATATATTTAAATATCACAAGATCTTTAATCCTTACAATAACTGTTAAAGGTAGATTGCCATTATTCCCTTCTAAAAAACTGAGGCTCAGACTAGATCAACTAACTTGTCTAATAATTGAATTTAATAAGTGGCAGAACAGGGATAAAACCTGTATACCTCATAAAGGTAATTTTCTATTGCACTATAATGATGAATCTTTATTCTTAAGTATGCCTTAGAGTCATGGAATTTCAAACTGGGAGGGGAATTTAGAGATTACTGAGTCTGGGATCTCATCTGATTCAGAACTCATCTATTAAAGCAACTTCACAGTTCTGATTATGCTGGTGTTGATGCATTTGTGCCCTTTTTTGGTGAGGGTAAGGAAGAGAGAAATCTTTGCTTTATTCCCTAGTTGAAGTTTATCATTGAAAAGCCTCTGCACTTAAAGTGAACTTGTGCAAAAAGTAACCTGTATTTGTAATAGTAGATTACCAAGAAGGCGATTATATTTTAGATTTTTTATCTTACAGGAAATTTCAAGAGCAGGAATGTCCTCCTTCACCAGAACCGACACGGAAAGAAAAAGACAAGAAAGGCTGCCATTGTGTCATTTTCTAGAATCCTTTCAGTTTTAGCTACCAACTGCCAGGAAAAGCCCTTATCTCCTCTTCCTCTCCTCAGTTTACATCTTATTTGGTACCTTTCTAGCCTTAGACAAATGATCACCATGTTAGCCTTAGACCAAGAAGCTGGCTAGTCAGTCCTTTCCGTGAAGCTAATACAATGGTCATTTCCAGACAAATTTAAAGGAAACACTAAGGCTGCTTCAAAGATATCTGATTCCTTTAAAATATGTGTCTATATACACAGACATGCTCTTTTTTTAAGTGCTTACATTTTAATAGAGATGAATCAGTTTTGGAATCTAAGCTGTTTGCCAAGCTGAAGCCACAGGTTGTGAAATAATTTTTAACTTTTGGAATCATACTGCCTACTGTTACTCTAAATAGAAATATAGGGATTTTTTTTTAATGTGAATTTTTGCCTATCTTTAAAAATTTCAATGTCAGCCTTTGTTAACCTTAAATACACTGAATTGAAACTACAAAAGTGAAACATCTCAGACCTTTACTGATACTACAGCTTTTGTTTTCTGGTGGCCAAAATACCAAAATGCCTATCGTATTTATGGATTAAAAACTGCTCATAAAAGCCTGTGTTATTACTCCTACTCTTGAAGATGATAATATTCTACGTGGTCAAATATTTGGACTCATTCAGGACTTAAACATTTCAGTGTACTTGATTTTTTAATTTAACTCTTTTTCACAGCCACGCTAAGGGTAAAAATAGTTTGTCTTCCTTTTCAAGTATTTCTGGATAAGGGATTTGAAAAATTAAAACTGTTTTTGTTTGCTGTAATATAAAATATGGAATTGATCTTTCCGGGGTCAGAGATGATTAATGTTTTTGCTATATACTTTTTATACATTATTTTCTTATCAAACTAGTTAACAAGTATTTTTATATGTTTGTAAGCAGATATGCTTTCACAGCATACCTTGTGTATATGTAAAGATAAGTATTTAATTCTCACTGTTCACTTTTAACTGACAAAGAAAAACAAGTGGAAACTGGAGAAACTGTGGTAGAGCTTTTACTTGCTGGTCTGGTCTTGGTTATACCCATCTTTGGCCAGTCACATATCTACTCAAGAAACCTTCCCAACAGAGTACAACAGGATGAGACTCTGAAATCACTTCTAATGTTCCCTGCTAGATACTGATTGTTATATCAAGTATTAAGTGTAAGCTTTTAATGGACAATTAGTATAACTGTGGATGGCATCTGATTTTGTTTTTAATTCTGTGGATTGTGTTTAAGCAATTCAATAGTATGTTCCTGATTTTGAGATGCTAAGTGGTATTGCACAGTTGTCACTTTATCAAGTGTGTACAACAGTCCCATGAAGTTTATAGAGCATACCCTTGTATAGCTTCAGGTGCTAGAATTAAAATTGATCTGTTATCACAAGATGTTGCTTGATTACTCATTGTGTTAATTTAGTGGTTTCTTAAGGGAACAAGTGTTAGCAAAACTTATTTTAGTAGCTCTATGCCTTTTTTTCCAGTGCCTTAGGGTTTGAATCTAAAAGTCAGCATTGGTCATTCAATAGATGGAGTGGATGTGAAAGTTTGGTGTTCTTTGATTTCTTGAATATTTACTTAACTCAGTGTTTCTTAAGCTTTTTGTATATCGTGCTCCTGATAGAGAAACCCAACTTTAGAGGAAGGTGAATACATATACATACACCCCTCTGAAGATGAAACTGAAAACAGCTAAAGCCACACACAGTACATTTATTCGAAGACCATGGCTCACACCTATAATCCCAGCACTTTGGGAGGCCGAGGCGGGTCGATCACTTGAGGTCAGGAGTTCAACTAGCCTGACCAACATGGTGAAACTCTGTCTCTACTAAAAATACAAAAATTAGCTGGGTGTGGTGGTGGGCACCTGTAATCCCAGCTACTCGGGAGGCTGAGGTATAAGAATTGCTTGAACCCCAGAGGCAGAGGTTGCAGTGAGCCGAGATTGCACCATTGCACTCAGCCTGGGTGACAGAGCAAAACTCCGTCTTTTAAAAAAAATTATATAATTAAATGCTTTACTTCATAGTATAATTATGTTGATACAGAATTATGTTTCAGGTCTTCTGGTACAATTTGGTACAGTTACTGCCTAGGAAGATACCATGTTTATCCTGTGGCTTTTGATACTCTAGCACGGTCATGTATCCTTAGTAGTACTTTCAGTTGGCAAAATTTATTTGTCCTAGGCAACTTCGGATAACAAGAGATTGCTCACATAATACCAGATTTCATGAGAAACCCATCAACTTTTTAAAATCTCAGTTTATTTTTTTCTTCTTTATGCTTTGCTTTGAATTATTTTTATTACATCTTCAAGTCCCATTACCTTTATGCTTCCCCTCCCCTCCCCGTCATCCTCCTCTGTCCTCCCCTTCCCCTCATCCTCTGTCCTCCTATCCCCCTTCCTCTCCCCTCCCCTCATCCCCCTTCCTCTCCTCTTCTCTCCTCCTACTTCCTCTCCCCTTCCCCTTCCTTTCCCACCGTCTTGGCTCACTGCAACCTTTGCCTCTCAGGCTCAAGTCATCCTCCTACTTAAGCCTGTTGAGTAGCTGGGACTACAGAGGTGCATGCCAACATGCCGGGCTACTTTTTGTACTTTCTGTAGAGACGAGGTCTTGCCATGTTGCTTAAGCTGGTTTCAAACTCCTGAACTCAAGCTATCTGCCCTCCCCAGCCTCCCAAAGTGTTTGGATTATAGGCATGAGCCACTGCACCTTCTCCCCAAAACCATTTCTTCTGCTGTTGTTTAATCTGTTGTTTGAATCTTACCTAGTGAATTTTCATTTTGGATTTTGTGGGGTTTTTATCCCCTGGAAATATTTGGATCTTTAAAAAACATGTGTATTATGCTTCTCTCCTCATTGTGTTCATGTATTCCTCTTAACTAGCCCCTCTCAACTGGTTTTGCAGAACATTGAGCCCTGAATTAACACACAACATATACAGCATTTGGGCTCAGTTTGCATCTAGAAAATTTGCATTGTACCTTAGCATCTAGAATGGTACAGCCATGTGCCATTTTTGGGAGGATGGAGAAAATAGTCACTCAGGTAACTGTAGGGCTCAGTCCTCTCACAGAACCGTGATTTAGAGAGGCTGCTTTGAATATTTGAACATGGCTATTTTAATGTTTTTGCTGATTCTATTGCTTGTATAATTTTTGGATTTGTTTCTATTGACTGAGTTTTCTGTAGTTACAGGTTGCATTTTTTGTTTTTTCAGATGTCAAGGAAGTTTTTGGTTGGAAGAAAGACATTGTGTATTTTATGTTGTTGGGTGTCTAGATTTTGTTGTCTTCTTTGTTGGGTTTTGTCCTGATAGTTAATTTATTGACTGTAGTTCAATTTTATCCTTTCAAGACTTCTTTTAAAACTAATGCAGTCTCAAGTAGCCTTTTCCCAGGGTAGGTTATCTCCAGTACTAAAGTGTGACCCTTTTGGGGTCTCTCTCCTGAATGGCCTAAATTATCAATTTGGCTTTCGGGAATGCAAAGAATTCCCAGTCCTGTGTGATCTCTAGGGAACCATTCTATTCACAGTTTCTGGGTCATTCTTTGCCCAACTCCGGGAGTTTTCATCCTAGACATATGTATCTTAATATTCAGTGAAGACTCAGATTCTATGCATGTCTTCCGATATTTTTTTATGTGTAGCTGTCTTCTCATCACAAGTAATTCCTTTGCCTTCTAGTTGATTCAAACTTGCAGATCTTTAATGTCTCCTTTCAGCTCAGGGAAATATTTGTGTCTTCTGTGGAATCCCCATCCCCTCTATAGTCTGTAGTGTCTCCAGGCAGATGGACATGGCAGGGTTAAGGCTTACCTTATTTCTTTCCCTTCCATCAGGATTGTAGTGTTTTGTTGCCTGGTGTACACTGTCTGAAAATTACTGTTTAATGTATTTAGTCCAATTTTTTTGTTTTATGGTTTTTTTTTCCCCCTCTGAGACAAAGTCTTGCTCTGTTGCCCAGGCCGGAGTACAGTGGCATGATCTTGGCTCACTGCAACCTCTGCCTCCCGGGTTCAAGCAGTTTTCCTGCCTCAAGCTCCTGAGTAGCTGGGATTACAGGCTCGCACCACCATGCCTGGCTAATTTTTGTATTCTTAGAGATGGGGTTTCACCGTGTTGGCCAGGCTGGTTTCAAATTCCTGACCTTGTGATCCACCCACCTTGGCCTCCCAAAGTGCTGAGATTGCAGGTATGAGCCACCCCGCCTGGCCTAGTCCAGTTTTTAAATTGTCTAGGGATGGTAACTGATTCCTGTTACTTCATTGTAATTGGAACTTGAAGTGTTTCCAATTTGATGTTTACTGTACAATCAGAGGTGCCTTGTAAATTTTTAAATCTCTGACATGAAACGTTTCTTACAAAGAGTGGCCAGTCTCATGGAATGAATAGTCCTTATCTGTGTGGCCACTTTTTCTCTATAGTTGGGTGTTGGCAGCTTTTTTCATGAAGGGCCAGATTGTAAGGATCATCTTGGGCTTTACAGGCTGTATCTCTGTCCCAACTACTCTACCTTGCCAATATAGCACTGAAGCAGCCATAAGCAATGTATAAATGAATGAATGTGGCTGTGTTCCAATAAAACTTTGTGTATACTGATGTTTGTGTTTCATGTCATTGTCATATGTCATGAAATATGACTCTCCTTTTGCAATTGTGAAAACCATTCTGTATAAAAACAGATGGTAGGATGAATTTGATCCACAGGCCATGGTTTGCCAACCCTGCTTTATAGCACATATAGCATTTGAGGTTACATTCCCATCTTTAGAATCTCTTGAGTCTCTTTATGTGGAAGTTCTTTCAGACAGCATTTCCTGAGTGGATGGTCATGAATTTCTGTTCTAGGTATTTCCTTTCGATATTGTTTGTTTAGAGGTTTACAGTATCTCAGAGTTGGACATTTGCCCTTGTTGACATACATTATATCCTTGACTATTTTATCATTTGCTTTTAAAATTTGATGTAACAAGTTTGTATATTCTTAAGGTTTAGCTTGCTCCTCTTCTGTTTATCATCACTTGTTTTAATTCATGTTATTTCTTTTCCCATAGCTATATGCTATACGTAATGATCTCATTTAACAAATAAGTAGGGGCCAAGCATGGTGTCTCATGCCTGTAAGCTCAGCACTTTGAGAGGACAAGGCAGGTGGATCGCTTGAGGCCAAGACTTCGAGACCAGCCCAGGCAACATAGTCAGATCCCATCTCTATAAAAAAGTAAAAATAATAAAAATTAGCTGGGCATGGTGGCATGTGCCTGTAGTCTCAGCCACTCTGGAGACTGAGGTGGGAGGACCATTTTAGCCCAGGAAGTTTGAGGTAGCAGTAGAGCTATGATCCTGTGATCAGCCTGTGCAACATAGTGAGACCTCATCTTTTTTTTTTTTTTTTTTTAAGATGGAGTTTTGCTCTGTTGCCCAGACTGGAGTGCAGTGGCATGATCTTAGCTCTTCCGCCTCCTGGGTTCAAGTGATTCTCCTGCCTCAGCCTCCTAAGTAGCTGGGATTACAAGCATGTGCCACCATGGCTAATTTATGTATTTTTAGTAGAGATGGAGTTTTGTCACTTTGGCCAAGCTTGTCTCAAACTCCTGACCTAAGGTGATCCACCCACCTTGGCCTCCCAAAGTGCCGGGATTATAGGAGTGACCCACTGCACCTGGCCAAGACTCTTAAAAACAAGAAACCAGATAATTAACTGGCAGGTAAATAGAAGGAGATGATAATCAAATAGTCTTTTTGAAACATATTGCTTAAAGGTATTTTATTTAACCAGTGACTGCTTCTAAAATTGCAAAGTAAGTTTTAGCAAAATGTGTTTTAATTAAAAATACTTGGCTGGGCACGGTGGCTCAAGCCTGTAGTCCCAGCACTTTGGCAAGCTAAGGTGGGTGGATCGCAAGGTGTCAGGAGTTCAAGACCATCCTGGCCAACATGGTGAAATTCTGTCTCTACTAAAAATACAAAAATTAGCTGTGTGTGGTGGCACACACCTATAATCCCAGCTACTCAGGAGGCTGAGACAAGGGAATTGCTTGAACTCAGTTGGCGGAGGTTGCAGTGAGCTGAGACTGTGCCATTGCACTCCAGCTTAGGTGACAGAATAAGACCCTGTATCAAAAAACTTGACTGAGCATACAGGGTTTCTCTCTCTCTCTCTCTCTCTCTCTCTCTCTATGTGTGTGTGCGCGCACTTGCGCACACATAGCAGTAATAGGAAATGGATAAATGTGGAGAGTTTCCTTCTTTCAAATTGCTCAGAGTCTAGTGCAGGAAGTTTTAGAGTGATAAAAACAAATGCTGGGACCCACTTTTAGGGCAGAGTAGGAAAAGCATTAAAAAAGTCTTGTCAAGTCCAGCAGAAGGGATTGTA